GCCATGGCCGCGAGCGCCAAGCGGAAGCAGGAGGAGAAGCACCTGAAGCTGCTGCGGGAGATGAGCAGCCTCCCGCCCAACCGCAAGTGCTTCGACTGCGACCAGCGGGGCCCCACCTACACCGACATGACCGTCGGTAGCTTCGTGTGCACCTCCTGCTCCGGCATCCTGTGAGTGAGTGCGGGCGGGGACCGCCGGCTCCATCCCCCCGGCACGGGTGACCTCCGCCCCCGGCCGCCGGGGGACGCGTCCGCAGGGCGGCGGCGGCCGGGCGGTGCAGCCCCGCCACGGGTCTCGCTGCGCCGCCGCTCCCCCTGCGCTCGCCCTTCCTGCCGCTGGCTCGGCCACGTCGGAGGGCAGCGGGCGGGGGGCTCTCCCGGGGAAGGGAAGGAGGCCGTCGGGAGGGTTTGTCGGGCGCGTTCGCGGGAAGTCCCCGTYGGAGCCCCCGGTGCGGAGGTGGCTGCCTCTGGCGGGGTGTGCGGGGCTGGGGCACACGGATCCCGCGGCCCGGAGCTGATCCCGGGACTGATCCCAGGGAGGTTTCTCTGGCACGTAGGGGGAGYGCGCACCACCACCCCACGGACGTGTCGAAAGGGTGGTTAATTAAACTACAGTGTGAGAATTCATGTGGAAGGGGAAGGGACACGTGGCTGAGCAGTTCACTGTCATGACAGCCTTGAAGATAAGGGGATACTAGCCCTGTGGTGAATACGTTTACAGATATTACTTTAACGTTAAGTTAAAATTACCGGCATAGCTTCATGTGTATCGAGTTATGCTTGGTGGTAGTTTGTAACACTGCTCTTTAAGCTCTATCTCAGTCGATAAACTCTAACCCCAATGGCWTAAGAGACTTGGTCAGAAAAGTAGAAAGGTGGTTGGGGTTTTTTCGCCCCCTTGCATCGATTACTTCCTACAAACTCTGCCTATAGACCTTGGAAAGGGATTGGCTGTGATAAAGTGATTACATTTTTCCTGTTCCTCATTCCTGTATGGGCCTCCCCACTACTCCTCCCTTTTCCACCCATCCTCCCCAGAGATAGTGTGTATGAAACTAAGGGTTGAGATCAGTCAGTTGTGAATTTCAGTCGCAAATCCATAATTTGGGGGAGAGACCCTGCTGTCATCAGTGTGCCTTTCTCCTTGGCTGTGTCTGCTTTTGTATAATTCTGTAGCATTGTGCTTATGGAATGGAGCAAAATAAAGAGTAACCAAAGAAGTAATAAATAGRATGTCAAATAATACAGATTGGTGTTCATAAGCGTTTCCATTTATAAAAGGCATTCAGGAGCCTGAACTTATTTCTGTCCCCTTACTACCCTAGACAGACCTTCCAAGTAAGGTTTGATGTTTTAGAACAAAGTTGGTAATTACACTGAAATGCAAAACAAAGCAAATATGTTAGTTCTGTGCTGAATTTATATGGAACAAACTGCCTTGTATACTAACAGACAGCCAATTAGACCGGGTTTTTTACTTCTACTTTGTGTAGACTTCTGAACAGACTCAACACAAATACAGAAAGTACATTTTGTTTGTGAAATTGAAAAGAGATTCTAGTTTTTCATACRTATATGCCACTCAATCAGCCAGCTCTGGCTATTGTTTGCTTTCTTCGTAAACTGTTATTTGTGCTGGCRTGTGAAACTATTTTGAGCTACTGCACTGAGCTCATTTAATGGTTGCACATGTTCTTGCTGGTTAAACTGACAGCATGATAAAACTGCACCATGAGAGTGTTTGTCTTTATTTTTCAGGCTTTTTAACCTTAATAGACAGTTATATTGTGAAAGCTGCTGAGATGCTCAGCGTGGGTTCAGAAGGGTCTATTCCTTTTATCTGGTGGCTGGGAGGTATGGACTGCTGAAGTGCATAGTCCAATTTGCAGCAACCAAAAGGGTGTACAGGCAGTGAAGCAGCTCATAAGCAGGGGACAGCTGCCACTTGATGTTAAGTTGACCAGCATTCAGATGTTTTCATGCTTAAAGGAGGAAGMCTTTCTGCAAAAAAATGGTTAATTAATTGGTATTCCAATAAAATGCAAATAGTTCTTTCATTCTAAATATGCAGTGTTTTTGTCTTGTTATTAAAAAGCAACCACAAACAACATGTTCGGTTCTTAAAACTAGTAATACCTACACTTGCAGCCTCAGGAGTAAAGGATTGTTAAGAGGACTTAAAGCTTCTCTCTAAAATAAATTTGGACTMATTCTTTCATGTTAACTTGGAAAAGCTTCCATAAATCATGTAAGCAGAATCATATGCATTGGTTARCACCTTAGGACCTAGCCAGTGTGATATTTTTGTTAGTGATGAGACTTCGTGTAGGTCATGTCTGTTTCATAACTAGAAACTTATTTTTAACGCTTCTGTCAGAATAGTCTTTCATACAACTTGTTTATTTCCAAATGCTTTTCACTGTAGAATTCCACAGTGTAGGAAAATGACTTGGGAACAAACCACATAATGGCAAATAAGCGTAAAAGTACTGCTACTGCTGTAGTTCTTAATGGCTGTTTGTGTTCTGCCTCATAATACTTGCTTTACTGTAAGGCTTTAATAATCTTAGTACTTTATCTTGTTTATACACTATGTGAATGACTTGCATTGCTTCTTGTTTTAATTAATTTTTTCTAATCTGGTACAGGAAGTATTCTTGSAGTCAAGTAGACTAGTTTTTTCAGGTATGAAGTGCCCAATGCAAGATTAAAATACTAGTGCCACAAAAAAGTCTCCTTCAGAAAGGTTTCTCAGTTAATTAAAAGTGATTGCTAATAGTGTCATCTTAAATAGGCATGTTGCTCCAGGTAGAGTTAAGTCTAAATTAAAAACTTATTTTTTGCAAGTTTTCTGAAGTGTTTAGTTGTTGTCCTGGCAAGGATTGTCTATTCACATCCAAACTTTAATTCTGAATCCATCCTGAATTTCCTGAAAGTATTTCATGTGTATAAAAAAAGTGATGCTATATGTTACTAGATTTAGCTTTAAAAACCTACTATTCCCTCTACTGTTTCCTAAAATAATGTCTAGCTTGTTCATATACTGCTAAAAACGATGACAGAACTAGTGGCTTTGCTAAAAGGATCTGTTTCTGGCTTAAATGTTGAAGGTGAGTCTTGGCAAATCAAAAGTATGAATGACAGGAGGCTTTTTCCATAATACTTGGGTTTTAAGTGGCATTATCAGATCAGGTTTACCAGGGCAGAAGTTTCGCTGTGCAAAATGGTGCATGCAGGAGAAAGTTCATGCACTGCAGTATGAATGTGCTTCCTCTTAAAATACTTCCGCATGTCCCCTTTGCTTAATTTTTTTGTGTGGGGGGGAAAAAAAAAGTATGCTAGCATCACATAAACTAATTTAACTTTYTGGTGTTGAACAAGAATATAGGATGTCTGGAAGTATACACGCAGTCATTTCTGCCCTGAGAGCRGGAGGAGATGCTCTGGAGGAGCAGTGTGCTCAGGTCAAAGATTASAGTCATACACTGCTGGAAGATTTCTCTATTACAGCCAACCCGCATCTCGGGAAATGTTGGTAGAGAGATTCTTTTGGTTTGACACAAGTCCTTTGATTCAAAGGATTGTGTTGGTAGCTGTGACTATTGTTTTCCTGGATGCTCCCATGTGGCCTGCTGACAGTGACATCCTTCCCTTTGTCTTATCAAATGCCTCTTTGCCTTGTATCTCAGCTGTCTGTGCAGCTCTGCTTTCAAGCACTTCTGTAGCACGCACAGGCAGCCCGCTCCCAGCTTTGATAAAAAGAACGTTTTTCAGTTCAYCAATGGAAAATATCCCTGTTTGATTACGAGTCCACTTGACATGTTTTGTCATATATAATTTTTTTATTTAGTCTTGAGTCTTTTTTATATCTGTAATGTGATAATAAAGATACTCCTTTCTCTCACTGCCCTCTTGACTTCCAACTTACTAAGGAAGTCTCTTGTTTAGGTATTTTCACTTCTGTCTTGTATCAGGACAAGCAACAAGGAATGTTTAGAACATACAGGTACTTTAGGAAATGCTAAAGCCCTTTAATGCTATTTTTCTACAATTATTGTCCTTCTTCTGCCTGCTTGTAATGCTCCTAGTTGAAATTTTAATTTTAAAATTTTCACGTGTAGGGGACTTCTGTATCAGCCAGATGGAAATATTTGATGGTGGATAGATTAGCAAAAAAGTATAACATTTTAGTGCAGTGATTGTGAATTGTTGTCCTTTTCCCTAGAAGAAGTTCAGCAGAAATTAAAACAGTCTAAACAAACAGTGCTGGAGTGAAGGTGATTCTGATTGTGTTAGCRTGACTTTTCAGTCCTTTTCTTTCCTTTGGAGCATGTTTGGAAAATGGCTTCATGTGCTGCGTGTCTCTGTGTATGTGTATATACATATATATTTTAGTGTATTTTCTATATTGCTGTATTTCTTGTTTTCAGTTTCAGGGCAGGAGAGCAGAGGATATGTCTATACCACAGCGAACACTGTATGGTTCAGAAAGAATGCTTTTGCATATTTTTTTAAGAAAAAACTTGAATTAACCTTGACTCTGCTTCAAAATGTGTGTATGAATCTTCTGCTATTAAAAATAAATGAGCTTGTGAGATGGTGGAGGGTCTCCAGGGASATCTACAAGTATCAGGAATGGCCAGTGCTGCTTTTATTCTCTTTTGCTAATTACAGTAGYGCAGAAATAATAACGAATGTTGTGACATTGGGTTTTCTGGCACTTGTTTTCTGGACACCTGGGGATGTGGGGTGCTCTGTGATGGCTTGGTATTTGACTTGTTCATTAACTTCCTGCTTTTTAGGGGATCAGATTTTGCTGGCTTAGACTCGAGATGGTGTTAAAATCTGATCCAGGAGACATTAGCAGTGTTGAGCAGCTGACTGCCCACTATTCCTCCCAGGAAAGGGACCCTCTGTTCCGCCAGAGCTCACTCTTTAAATTTTTTCCTCGGCCTTTGCAGACAACTTTGCCAACTCTTACTTGAGATTAATGCAGGAATGGCTGCTCTGCCAACAATCACAAGTTCAGCTATGATTTGCTGTTAAGTTATGTTAGTAACAAATATCCATTGCTTGTTGACTGTGTTTTGAATGTTTAATGTTTCAATTGCCAGACTGCAGAATCCTGTGTCAGTAGCCTTAAAGCTTCCTTTGTCTGTGAGAGCACCAGTTTAACAATGCTCTCTGAAGAACAGAGGTCTCATGTTCTCTGAAGCTGCCCCTACACTGGGCTGTGACTCAGTGAGGGTCAGTGGAGGAGAGTCTCCAGGCTGGAAGCTCTGGTCACAGTGCTCTTCCACAGAAAAAAACCATTGCAGAGCGTGAAGAAGTTGGCAGTGATGAGTGGGATCTCTGTGTGGGATGTTCTAGCTCTGGTGTGCTGGATAAGTGCAGATGGCAGAATTGTCTTACTCTGTCATCTTTCCCCAGGGCCCCTTGGGAAAGAGCTGCAGTCTGGTTTAAGTGCTGAGGTTGTGTTTGGTTGCTGCCTTCCTCGGGAGCTGTGTTGTAGGGAAGGGAGTAACTGGTACTGCTGCATGGGGGCAGGTTGCAAATATTTGTTCAGGGTCAATTTATATTTAGGCATGGGTAATTTGCAGTAAGGGACTGCAATCCATTCTGTCCCCTGTTAAAAAGGGGGTATTGTAAAGCATTAGAACTGGGTGAAACACTTGTCAAATACAAGGAAAGAAACATTTTTCCTATGAAAAGGAGATTTGTTAATTCCTCATAAGGGATAATTGTACTTGGCTGTCTACCAGGAAGCTTCCCCCATATGTTGATGAGCTGTTTGTGAATCATTTGGGTCATTAAGTAATCTCTGTAGGTAAGGAAGGGCTGGTCCTTCAATTCTGTTTCAAAAATCCTACAACTGCTCTATTTTAGGGAAATTCCAGACAATTCATGGATGTTAGAAATCATTAAAAAAACAGTATTTGCTGTTCTAATGGTAGAATCAAAGTAATTTATCTAACAAAGATAATGTATACGTTTGGGTTGTGTTTGTGTGCAGTTTCTTGTCTTGAATTCCTTGTTCCAGGCTGATTTCTTAGGCTGCTTTAGCGTAAGAGGAAGCTTTKTATAGGTTCCCCTCACACCTTCCATATTCAATGAACATAAATACTTGTATGTACAGTATTGCAGCTTGATATTTTACTTTACATTATGGCTCTTTAAGTTCAGTTCAGAATTTCCAGTCCTCCTGGACCACTGATGTGGTGCCATGCTCTCTTTCATCATGCCAGACATCTGACACCTCTGTGTTGTGATCTGACCTTTAGGGGGATGTCTTCCTACTTTTAGCAGGATAGTGTAAGAGAAATGTGAATTCATCTTATCCCATGTGGATATAAAGTGTATATCAGGGAACTTTATAATCTGAACTCTTCACTGGAGAGAGAGGCATGCAGGAAGTCTGGTGAGATTTAACAAAATCTTATCTAGGCCTCAGCCAYATTTAATGCTGCTTAATAGAACTGAAATTACTGAAGATATCCGTGTTTGCTGATGCAAATGCTTTGAAGAGCCCTGGTAGATGAGTGTAGAGTAGGTACATCTTAAATAACTTGTGCAGTGCTTTTAAATTGCAAACGCAGGTATAATAGAGCACTTAAAYTATACTTATGGCAAAAAGGAATTTCCAGCAGGAGCTGGTGTCAAAGTTGAGATAATACTGCCTGTGCTGACAAACATGTGAATGTGTTAGTGAATAGCTCTGGCTTTTAAATAGTTTACAGCTATCTAACTGTCTGCTATTGTAATTACTAGGCGGTGAGTAAATTGAACAGACTGAGGCAGACAGAACAGCTTTTATACTTATTGTTAAAGCAAGGGACAGTAATTGTCATATAAGATTTGATKGGGCATGTTTAGGTGAGATGCCAGGTGGATGCCAACTTTGTTTCCATTCTGTCACTCAATATTTGATGCTACAGTGTCATTTGGTGAMATRTAATTRCTTACATGCRCAGAGGTAAAGGGTTGTTTTTTTWAAAACCCAAAAGTAAACAAAACCAMAGCAACCAAACCTAATCCTAGCACCAGCTCTGAAACAATGAATTTTAACTGCATAGAACTTACAGATTTCTTTTAAATGGCATAATCTTAAAATTACTAAAATCTTAGATCATACTATAGTATTTTAATAAGTGTTGTTTGTTGTGTAGATGATACAGCTAGATGAAAGATGCTGAATGGTTAATTTTTATTTACCAAGAAATGTAAACATTTTGAGAGAAGATATTTGATTAAATTATCTTAAAACCTCTCTCACCAACTTTAATGAAACTTCTATATTCTTGTCAAGATGCTGAACTGTTGAGTCTAATGTCAGCTCCTCCGGTTTCAAACATTTGCTGAAGCAAATAGTATTCTGTAAAACTTAATTTTCATATGCCTTTAGGTTTGTATGTGATTTMTACTTTTAAGGTACTCAAAATCATTCCATTTCTTAGAAAAATATAATTAATGGTTTATCCAAATGTTTCAGTGATTATCTCAAATTCGTTATCTCATGAAACTTAGGCTAAAATGTTACTGCTAACCAGTGTTGTAACCAGTATTCGACTTTTGATTAAAAATGTGGAGATCTTTTAAMACAGGATCAGAATTGTCTTACAGGTACACTTGAATTTAGGTATGATGAATTTGCAAGGTAAATGCACAACAATATTTTTCCCATTAGACTTACGTGGAAAACTTGAGGTGCTAAAATTTTTCTTTAGAAATTGAATATAATGTTAATATTTGGAGCATCAGATTTTTGTCATAGGCTGTTCTGATGGATAACAATTTAATTTATAGTTAATGTTCTTTTGATAATCACAGCATTTAAAGAAAACCACAATTTGTTCTTAATTACATGTCAGTGATTTATTTTGATTCTTAAATTTAATCTGAACCAAATTTAGAATTAAAAGCACAGGAACAAATATAAGCAATAAGCTATCAGTTGATTTTCTTAGCGATTTGTTAGGCCAGTATTACATCCCTGGAAAGCTTTTTGTGTGCTTTGATATCTCATGGTTAATGTACATTAATTGCTTTTTAAGATGGTATTTCAGCAATCCAGGCCTGATTAACTTGAATGTTAAATTGGCTCCATGGCATTGCCTGAGTCAGTGACTCCACTGCTTRGCACATGTGGGATGTAATGTTCTTGCATCCATTGAGCAGAGCACAGCTTGGTTTTGATTGTAAGTGTTGGTGGGCAAAAGCAGTAGTTAGCATGTATTTAAAGAAAGAGCTTGAAAAGAAAGCAAGCTTTTTCTTAGCTTGGTCCTGTTGCTCAGCGGGTTTTCTCTCTGTGCTTGCAAGTTATGACTGAACTGAGTTTGACARCGTCAGGCTGTGGCAGCACAAGTGCTTGGTGTTCTTGCTGGCCCTGCTGCAGCAGTCTGGTGTGGATGTGAGAGTGGTGCCGACCGAGGCTTAAGGCAGAGCTGCTCTTTTGAGCTGTGGCTTTAGCAATGCTATCTCTCATTTGAGAGCATGCTAAAACCAGTGCCTTTTTGCTTTTGTTGCAGTTAGCTGTGTAGTGTTCAGGAAGAGGAAGAAGCCCCTGTGAGTGCAGGGGCAAAAAGTAAACTAGAAAAAGATGCTGGGAGGAAACAGGAAAYGTAGGTTCAAGCAAGAGAAAAAGACTGAGCTGGTGAATAGTTTATCTTGAAAAAATGCAGTTAGAAGTTGTAGAAAGAGAGCAAAGTGAGGARGGRGTTGGAAGGCAAGAAAACTGCAACAAAGTGGGCCAAGATTGAGAARTAAAAGGTAGAGACAAGGGTGAACAATTTTGGGGAAGCTGATTAGGATTTTTAATTTTGTTTTCTTTAATTTGCATAGAAAGTGTCTGAGTGAGTTTGCATGTGCATTTGTGAGCATTGGTCTCCCTTGAAGTTACTTTATTCAACTTTGTATGCTGTTATTTTGAGAAGAGCTTACACAGCCAGAAGTTGTATAGTAGTACCGACAAGTGTGTTTTACAGAGATGGCTCCTGATTTTAAAACTGACTGACTTCTAGCTGTAGTCTTAAACGTGATTGTATRATGACAAATTTCCGGAGTGCTGAATACTTCTTATATCTTTCAGGCGGGGCTTGAATCCACCCCACAGAGTGAAGTCGATTTCAATGACTACGTTCACACAGCAGGAAATAGAATTTCTGCAGAAACATGGAAATGAAGTAAGTATTATTTGGAGATTAAAGTGGTTTTGGCACTTTAGTATTCAAGTTTAAAACACTATTTAAGGAAAAYTTGGTTGGGTTGTTTTTTTAGCAAAAGCTTGACAGAAGTCTTTTGAAGCCTACATCATTTGAAATGAGGCTTTTGAAGAATCTGTTTCATTGGGTAGCTGATCATCATGATCAGACAATCCAGATTTCTGAATTGGGTTCCTTTTTGGTTTTGCTTAAGGCAGTATGCAGCTATCTTTTTTTTTTTCCTCCAAGCTCAGAACTGTAAACTGACTGTAGCAGGGCTTTTTGGAAGAGTGTCCTGTGACAAAAATTAATACAGAAATACAGCTTGTAACTATTTCTTCACAGTAGGTGTCAGAAAGTCTTCTAGTAGTTTTAATAGCCTCGTTACTTAATAAGTATATCCATGTTGAATGTTCTTGGAGAGAGAAAGGGGAGGGAGAAATTGTTATTTACTAAGTGGCTTGTGGCAGCTTTGAAGAAGACAAGTTCTAGCATACCAACTTTAGTTCTTTTTGGTAGAAGAAAAAACCTGAGGTAGATGTTGGATTGGCTCTGTGGGAACACACGGAGCCCGTAAGCTCTGGATTGGTGTCTTCAGTTCGAGGGTGAAGTATTTTAATACTCTACTGTAGCCTTAAGGATTTTAAAGGCAGATATTACCTCTGTTCAAACTACATAAAGTTCTGCTTCACATTGATTGCATTTGTATCCTGTTTGGTAGAGCTATTGATTGTAGGCTAGAGAGTGTTGTATTGGTGTGCTCTTGTGAAGCTTTGTGGGGATAAATCCCATCATTCACKAAAGTGCTGATACTTAACTTTCTTCAAGTTGGCCCATTCATAACTGTCAGGTTGAAGAATGAAAATAGAAGTAGCAATTTCTTTTTCTGTCCTGGTAAACATGTGTTATTTGTTGAAATGACTGTTAGTGGATGATTCCTTTAGACAGAGCTGGAACAAGGCCTGAACTCTCCAAAACTTTATTAAATACTCTTGATGGCTTAGRTTGGTTGGGGTTTTTTAAAACTGTAGAGCATTGCATATGTATGTGTATATATGTAGAGCATATTGGTGACTTTTGCATGGGGAAAATAATAATGAAGCTTCTGTGGATTCACCGAGTGTGTTACCTTTTCATAAGACTAGATTGTAAACTCCAGCTTTGCTTTGAACTTCAGTGTAAAGGAAAGTGGAATGGAAAAGTGTAGCTCCCTTCTTGCATTTGTTTTAATTTCAATTTTTTTGAATCTGCAGTTTCTGGAGAGTGCTATGAGTTTGTTTTCACTGATCTAGAGCCTTAAGTGATSCCTTCTCAACTGATCAGTGTAGTTGTCTGTCTCATTAGAGCCTTGGCTTGTCTGCTAATGATAGTGATTTAGTTGATACATAGTTTATTATTGACATAAAATTTACAGATCTCTACAGGGCTATTCTGTTTCAAAACCAGGGGTTTTGCATTTGTGGTACTCTAATCAGAGAATTGCAGTGATTTAAATGAGCTGCCTCATAAAGGAAGATGTCCTCCTGAGTTTAGTTTTAGGTTGTTGGTTATTGCCTTAATTCTTAAGTAGAACTGAATAGACACTTGAAAGTACAGATGGTAGATTTAAGGAGTGCTCAAATATTGAACAGAAATGATTATTATTTTAAACACTATTAGAAGTTTAAAACCTAGTTAAACATGTTTTCACTTTGTTGCACTTTATATTGCGGTAGTTAAATAGGCATTTTGCTTTCTCTTGTTRGTATTGGACTTTGGAATGCTTATCTGCAGATAAGATAATATGTTGGACAGATGAAATTCACCTGACCTCACAAAAAACCTTTTTTGCTTAGCTTACTGTTCAGCACAGGAGACTCATGTGTGTATAGAAGAAATAAAATTTCCTAAAATAAGACTTTCCAAACATAAAATTGTCCAGTATTGTAATATCAACAATTAAAACAATTCTACAGTGATACATATAAAAAGAAGCTCAACTTTTTTTGGGGTRTATCTTGTTTAACTTCCATTTTTCTTTAGCTTCTTAAATACTTGCATTCCCACTTTCTACTTCTAGTCTTTCTCCAATATGGCCAAGACCTCTGTGATAACCTTGCTTGCTTTCAGATGAGTAGATCATAGTTGTACAATAGGGATCTTGTTCTGAATACAAAGTAAAATAGCAAGATATTAATGAGATAAAGTGTTTAAGGTGCTCAGTTGTTCTTAGAGGAAGTAGTTTTCCACTCTCCTTCAAAGGGTATTTATAAGGTCAGTGTATTGTATGAGGTTGAAATTCTCTAAAAAAACACAGAAAACAAAACAAAAAAAACAAAACAAAACAAAACAAAAAAAAACCCCAAACCTCTCAAACCAAACAAAGAAAAAAAACCCAAAATACTTTGTAATATTTAAAATACTAACTTTTCCCCAGTTCTTGTATGTGACTCTTGTATGTGTTTGTGGCATACATGGGTAAAATATTCAGTTACTGAAAGGCTTCTGCAAAACTGCTTTGAGAGATTATTCAGAGCAGCTCTTCTTCAGAAGTGTCTTTCTGGCACGGGTAACTTGRACTTTATTTTAAATGAGTTTTTACTGCTTCAAACACAGTTTTAAGTTGTTCTACTGTATTAGAAGACACCTATATTTTGATGTTTCTTACTCATCTGTAGGTATAAACAGATATCCAGACTCCAGTTTTGCTGATGTTGCGATTAGATCACTGCAGTGAGAATGGAGRCATCTTCCAGCTGATATTTCCCAGATGCCTTCTGAAATCCTTTTGAAGGATAAAGGCAATTCTGACTCAGCTGGATAGGGTTTTTCATCTCCTTGCTCTCTTCATGAAGAGCATTGTGAGGTATTTTCACATTTTCATGTTAGGAATAATGAGGAGATAGATAGTGATATGAAGATGTTTCTGTGTGAATACTCATCCTCAAATGTTGCTAATGCTGACTAGGCCTCTGGTTCAGTTGTACAGTGCTAGTAGGAAGTGAACTCTGTTTGCAGAAAGTAGAGGTGGTGCTAATCTCCTGTTGCCATTATAGCTGTGAAAAAATAGAATTATGAGACAAACCAGTTACATAGCTAATTTTTCTCCTACCCTTTTGAAAAATGACAGGTATTTTATAACTTTTCTAAATGGCATATGTAATATGCATATGGTTGAAGAAAAAAGGTCTTGATGGTCTTGTATTTAGAAAATCTGTGCTCCTCTGGGGGAAAGACCRTGTTTACCCAAGCTAATGAGTAGGATACATGCAGGTATGCTCAGCTGCTTGGGGTTATTTTAATAGTGCTTAATTTTGGTTTGGTGCCAATCTTCCTGACTCTCGGTAGTACCTGTGCAAGTCCCTGTTTCCTGCTCTCTTGCAGAACTGGCAGCAGTCTGAGTCTGGTTCAGAGCTGGTGTTAGGCCAGACCAGAGTGCTTCCTTAGAATCTCCTTTTCTATGGAATGTGGCCTAGAAAYCCTGGAGTGGAAAGAGCAGTCCTAAGCTGGAGCTGATGAGTCCTGACAGCACGAGCTGTGCAGTCAGGTGTCCTTGTAGTACATTGCTGGTTCTGCTAATACGATCTAGAGATACATGAGCTGATTGTGTGTAGAACAATGTCTTTGTTAGCAGGATTTACTGGCTTGACTCTGCTTATGAAACAACTGTAACTTCTGGACCCAAACTGCCTTTGGGCAGTATGGCAGTATGCTGGCAGTATAAAATTCTTTTAACCTACAGAGATTAATGAATAATATTGACATCAGAAGTGCAGAATTACTAAACAAAGCTATAACTTGCTTACATAAAGAAATTGTTTCCAAATCTTTCTTCAGTGGGGTGTTGTGTTTTGGAAAATAGTTTTGTTGTGTGGTAATGTACAGTTCTTTGCACTGTCAGCATGACATACGGTGCATAACTGAGGATATTTTATTGGCAGGGAGGGGGAGAAGAAGAAATCTAATTTGGCATTTACCAGCCTCCTGAAAGGTAATATCTCATTAGAGCTTTTTAAACTAGACTGACGTGTAATCTTCCTATGCAGTGGTATGTCTGGGTCTCAAGAAGTGTTGTAGGTCAAGTAGTGTGCTTCTCCAAGTTGAAATGCAACTTCTATCACCAGAAGAATGTGTCCTGCTAGAGTTGTTCCTTGCCTTGCTGCCTACACTCGATACCAGAGCAGGAGGCTTCATGAGCAAGAACTTAACCTTGCTGGCGTGACTGAATTTTTATTATTCCTAACTAGCTCAACTATGTTAACAGGAGTTTCTAAAGTGTGGTGGCTCAATGTGTTGTGTAAGCAGAAGGCCTTTGTCTCTCCTATATCCGCCTTCCCACACACATTGGAGATCTCTATCAGTGAAATAGTTATGACATGGTAAAGCATTATTTGGTAGTTGAAATACATAGCACTAGAAAAGAAATGATTGTAATCTCAGATTCTTGGTGTTTCTGCAAAATTTCATGGATAATTCTGATTCTTTTTTAGATTAGCATATTTTTAGTGTGCCCCACTTGCCCACTTTAGTGTTCTGCCCCACTTGCCCAGCTCTGTGGAAACACACAGGAAAAAAAATGCTGCTTGGAACTCCTGAAAGCATGAAATGTTATTGGAGGCTGGGTTTTAAACCAGAAGCCTTTCTGATTAACTTTGTTTTGTGGTGTGCCAGATGTGCACTGTATGGGATGTGTTCTTTGTTGCTTTCTGTCAAAGATGAACAAGGGTAATTTAATTACTCATAGTGTGAGACTATAAACGTGAATAGTATATGGAAAACCTAGTATGGTAAATATAATTACTCTGGGAAAAACCATTTCTCCCTCAGATGGAATAGCTGTAGAGTGCAGATTCAGGGAAACCAATGGTATGAAGAGAAATATAGGTAAAGACTTTATTATAGCATACAATATGCACTTGGCCCAATTTCTCCTTTCTATGATATATTTAAGTTACGGCAACTCACAGTTTCTTCCTTGCTACCTCCTGGGTTTTTATCTAGGT